CCGTGGATTAGGAAAGCACAATTGCAGTAAATGAGAAACATACAAGCAAAAAGCAATGAGTCTGAGCGCTACTTCCGTCTACATCCTCTCCTGCCTAGGTGCCTTGTCCCGCAATCTACCTCTACTCCTAAGCGCGAGTCAGCCGAGCTGATCGCGTAGGCTTCAAGGTGCTAGCTGGGTCCCACTGGGCCCACTAGGCATGCACCGCCTTCCAGCCTGTGAATGTCGAATTGAATTCCCAGGCTGGCTGGAATCGAATTCGCCCTCATCCTCCTCACCAACCCCCTCGAACTCCTCAGTAGCTCGACTCTGTATAGTACAGTAACATTCCAAAAAGAGCAAACAAAGTAAAATGCAAAAAGCAGTAAACTATAGTACACCTCACCTTGGCTGCTGTGGAATTCACACTTAGTTGCCAACTAAGTGTTAATAACGCGACAGCTGTCGTGAATCCCCCTCTGCTGTCCCTTCCTTCTCACTCTCCCTTGAATCCCTGCGTGACTTCCTCCTCCCTCTCCCTCCGCCTCTCAGAATTCGAGTAGTACTTTGAGCTCGTCGCCCACCAGTTGCTCACTTTCGGATCCCCGGCTCCCCCCTGAGCATCGGAGCCATTTAGACTCAGCGACTGAATAAAATTCTCGATCACATTCTGTCCGATTTTTGCTGGCCAGTAACCGTAGTATATTAGGTATATATTCAACGTCTCGCCGCTCAGCACGGGACCACCGGGTGACCGGCTCATCCCTTCTTCCTCCTGACGTATGTAATCACTCTGTTCTGATCCCCTCCTCGTATCTCAGGCTTCCCTGCCCCCTCCCGTGACTGAGCACGCACCCGAGCTGCTCCAGATACGGGATCCAATGCCTGAGGCTTCTCCCTTCCCGCCCTGGCCACGTTGGTGATATGCTCCTTCAGGTACTTCCCTCGATCATCCTCCAGCACTAGCACCCCCGACTCCCTTACCTCTTTCACCCTCCATCGCTCCGGTCCCACAGCTAAGTCCAGCGTATCTCGCTTAGCCCTGCGCAGGTACACCTCCTGCCCCGCTTCCACTTTGTCACTCTTTCCTCCCATCCCTCCTGCTTTGCGCTGCTGGTACCGCCTTGCATCCCTCAGCTGCGCCACGTGTAGATTATCCAAGGCAGCTGGAGTCAGCTCTTTCAGATACCTCGCCCTCTTCTCCGCTAATCCCGCCCACAGGCTCGGCTCGTCCGCTTCAATTGTCGCCGAGAGCAGCTTCGGTGCATCCACAGGTAGCACCGGGTCCCGTCCGTACAGTAGATGATACGGGGACAGATGCTTCAGCGCTGCCTGCTTCGCAAACCGGTATCCTGCAAGCACCCACCAGAGATCCCTGTCCCAACTCCTCTTGTGTGTCTCTCCATAGGCCCGAAGTCCTTTTTTCACGGTTTGTATGAGCCCCTCTGTCAGCCCGTCCGATTGAGGGTGATACCTTGAGGTGACACGATGCATGATGCCCATTTCTTCTAGCAGCTCATCAAAGCTCCCTTGAAACTCTGTCCCTTGATCAGTAAGCACCTCTCCACATGCCCCGTACCTGGTCAGTACTAACTCCTCGAATGCGCCCGCTATCAGTGCGCTACTCTTGCTTGGTAATGCCCGCGCCTCCACCCATTTGCTCGTGTGCTCAACCATGATCAGAATGTACTGCTTCCCTCCTTTTGATAATGGTAACTTTCCTGCCAGGTCCAGCGACCACCTGTAACCTAACCCCCGAATCGGTAGTGAGTTCAGCTCCTCCCTCTCCTTTTCCAGCCTTGCTTTATTCCTTTGACACGCCTCGCAGCTGGCTACCAGTCCTGCCACATCCTTCCCCATGCTTGCCCACCAGTACATGGTGCTCAACAGCTGCCGTGTCCTGGTGATGCCGTAATGTCCTAGCTTCGCATGCACCTTCTCCATGATCCTGTTCCTCTCTTGCGGCTGCGGTACTACCCTCCATCCTTCGCTGGTCCTCAGCTGCAGCTGCTCCTGAAACCATCTGGAATGCTGCCCTCTGGCTCTTGCTCTCTCACTAACGCCTTCCTCCTCCAGTGGCTCCCCTTTGATCCAGCTCATGGTCTCCTCGTCCTCCCATATATCTGCTAACCGCTTCTCTCCCTTCTCCTGCCCCCAGGTCACGGCCACGGCGTGGGCTAAGGCCGCCAGCTGCGCTACCGGCTGCATCGGTGGTGGGTTCCTTGACAGCCCATCTGCATGCTGCAGTGTTTTACCCGGTCGGTGCCGGATCTCAAAGTCGAATCCCAGCAACTTGATAGCCCATCGAGCGTTTCTTCCCGTCAGCTCTTGATTAGTCATCAACCATAGCAGTGGCTGATGATCAGTCACTAATGTAAAGTGCCGGCCCTGTAGGTATACCTTGAAATGCGTGATTCCCCACACTGCCGTCAGACCCTCTCCCTCGTATGAGCAGTAGTTAGCCTCGGATGGGCTGCAGCTGCGGCTAGCAAAGGCTATCACTCTTTCCTCTCCCTCGATTTCTTGGCAGAGCACCGCTCCCATTCCCGTACTGCTCCAGTCCGTGTACAGGATGAAAGGCGCTTCTGCCCTCGGTATCTGCAGTAAGGTCCCTGTCCTAACTGCTTCAAGCAAGTCCTGCCTTGCTGCCTCCTCCACTTCTCCCCATTGCGAGCTCTTCCCTTCCCTCAGCAGCTGGTTCAGTACGTAGGCGCGGCGACTGAAGTTTGATACAAACTTCCTGTAATAATTCAGGAAGCCGAGTAACGCCCGCAGCCCTGTCTTGTCCTTCGGCGCTGCCAGGTTCTCCAGCACCTTAACCTTCGCCTCTTGTATGGCCAGCCGACCGCCCTTCACTTCAAACCCCAGGTAGGCCACCGTGTGCCTCGCCATCTTACACTTATCTCGGTGACACGTCAGCCCTGCAGCTGCTATCGCCTCTAGAGTCTGCTTCAGATCTTGCACATGCTGTTCTTCGCTGCTGGTATAAATCAACACGTCATCAATGTAGCAGGCGGCAGCTGGAATCCCCTTCAGCACTTGATCCATGGCTCTCTGGAACACTGCTGGTGCGTTACGAAGCCCGAAAGGCATAACGTTGTACTCATACAACCCGTCCACCCCGTGAAATGCAGTTTTCCGTTTATCTGTTTCTCTAATGCCTATCTGATTGAAGCCCTGCCGCAGGTCCAAGTAGGGATGAGCAAATGGCGAACTCGAACACGTTTGGGTTCGAGTTCGCCCGAACAACAACTTTCGCCGAACCGAACTTCAGGACATGTTCGCCGTTCGCCCTTGGGGGCGAACATTTGTTATGTGTGGGCGAACTCGAACATGTTCGACCCGAACATGTTCGAGTTCGCCCAGGGCCACTTTCATTATAGTCACAACAGCTTGACACGGAACCTGGAGGGTTGGGAAGATAGATAGGGGGGTGGAGGGTGTGTATATAATCATGCAACGCACACTAGCATACGACACCATCATGTAGTGCTTATATAAAAGTCAAGTCACTGCTAAATTATCTCCTATCCTACGCATGCACACCACTGCTACTACCAACAACAGCATGCTCCGCGTCTGAGGTGTCGCCTGCACCCACCCCCACCTGCTCCTCCTCCCCCTCCTCCTCCTCCCACTCGTCGTCCTCCTCCTCCCCCTCGCCTTCAATGGCGAACTCTGGTGGTGCCTCGCCCTTGGCACGGCGGCCCTCGCCTATCCTCTGTCCAGGGTGTGAGGTGTACCATGATCTGAGAATCATGGAAGCTCGCGTCCTTTGAGAGGCTAGGCGGTGCCGCTTCCAGGATATGAGGTTGCGGCCGAGGGAGAAGACGCGTTCGCTCGACGCGGACGTGGCAGGGATGGCAAGATAATCCCGGGCCATGCGCCTCAGCGTCTGCATGTTGGTGGCGCTGCGCCAATACTCCAACGCTGACACGTCGCACCGCACCCTCTCTGACAAGTACCTGCCAACCTCGTCATCCTGCACCATCCCACCCCTCCCCGCCTCCTGGCTCGCCGACAGACGCGCCGCAAGGCGTCGGCGACTAGGGAGAAACTCGGCGTCCTCGTCGTCATCCGCCTCCTCTCCCTCCTCCTCCGTCACTGGGGCAAGTGGGGTCGACTGAGGGGCAATCGCTGCAGCCCGGGCCTGGTACTCGGCCACGCGTTCGCGAACCAGCTGGATCACCTCGCCTGACGAGGGACGAGGCCTCGCCCTCCGCTCTGTGTCGGGATGCAGCGTCTCCCAGTGCGCGTCGTCGAACCACGCCGCCTTCATGGACGGGTCCAGGAAGGTGGCGATCCACAGCTCGTTGCTTGACATCAACTCATACTTCTTCAAGAGTCCCAGCGCCGCCTCAATCATCGGCTTCAGCGTAGCCGATGGCCCCTTGGCCAGGCGCGACTCCATAGCGTCGATCAAGCCGTTGTAGTACGGCAGGACCATCGACACTGTAGGGTACGCCGCTCCCTCTGCGGCCTTGGAGACTTTGGCGAATGGGCTGAGGAAGGTCTTGACAGAATGCAGAGTGTCCCAGTCTGCGTCCGTCATGCGCAAGGTGTCCATCTTCGCCTTGTCAGCCTTCGACACGCCCTGTCGGGTAGAACGTATGGGTGGGCGACGGATAGAATGGAAAGTGGGGTGGTTGAGGTTGTTGGAGGTCCGGAAAGTTGAGTCAAGCATGGCCAACAGTGCTGCAAGGGCCGGAAGAATACACGCCGACCGACATACCAACACATAAAACAGCATACACAACACCTGGCGCACACACACACCTGTGTCTGGGCAAAGTAGACAGAGATGGGTTCCTGCAGAACCCCGGCTCGCTCGACCATGTCGTGTGTCGACCCCCAGCGTGTGGGACTGTCCTGCACCAGCTTCAATGCTGGCTTCGGTTTGGCGGGGTTGCCCTGCGCGCTCAGAGTCCGCTGAAGGCCCAAGAACTTCCCCGAGCGCTGCGGCGAGTATCCTATCCACGACGCCATCTCTCTCAGAATCTTCAGCAACTTGCGGATGGCGGTCACAGCGAGTGCCGCCTTCACCGCAAGGTTGATCACGTGTGCCAGGCATCTGCGCACGTCACAAAACATTCATGGCGGAGAGAAAGGGAAGTGTGAGTACACAACACATTGGCCCACCCGCCTGTACTACAACCACAACATGTTCACATCACAGGAACACTCCCTTTCGTACCGGAAGTGCATGCGCGAGTTGAAGAAGCACTGGCCACCACCCTCCTCCGACATCCACCTGAAAGCGGCAGTGTTGCTAGAGGCGTTGTCTGAGGTGAACCCAAGACAACGCGTCTCCAACCCCCACTGCACCACCGTGTCCTCAACCACCCTCGCCATCTGCTTGCCCGTGTGCCGCCCGTGAATTTCCCGGAATTCAAACACCATTGTGCGCAGCTGGTAACCCTCGTCGATCCAGTGACCCGTTACCACCAGCCACGCCCTGTTGTTGGGTGACGTCCACATGTCGATGGTGAACGACACCCTGCACCCCAGCTCCCCCTCCTTCGCCAGCATCTCCGCGATGGCTGACTGAAGAGCAGCAGCCGAATAGACCACTGTGTCGCGGGAAACCGTCCAGCGCGAGGGGATGAAGTTTTTTTGCGCGCAGTTGCGGTTCAACAGGATGAGTAGCTCACGAAACTGGAGAGGGGAAGAGACAAGGGGGGAGAGGGTAGTACACGTCAGGGGGATGCGATAAAGGTAATATAGCACTGCACTGGGCCACACGCAAACAGTCAAAACACAAAGTGACAGACACGTCCACTAACCGCATACTTGCGAAATCAAGCATGGGATGGGATGGGGCACTTACAGCCTCGGCCTCGACGATGCGGAAGGGGAGGTCGCAGGTGACCACCAGCTTCGTGATCGCCTGCCGTAGCTGCACCGAGGTCAGTTTTGCTGTCATCCACCGCTCGATCCCTCCTGACCCATCACCTCCACCAGTTGCCATCGCTTTCCCCTTGGCGAGCTGCGGCCAAGTCTTGGCATGTGGCCACTGATAGACGTAGCCATCCGGCACTCCCTTGTAGCCCCCTCGGGGAAACGTCTCCCCAGGCAAGTGAACCGACGGGGTGTGGTAACGGTGATGCCACACATGCATGTGCGCAGTGTGGAAGCTCGCAAAGTGCCGCTCGCCCGGGGTTGTTGTGGATTGCTTCCACGAAATCCTATCTGTGCAAATCTTGCACTGACGCTTTTCGTCTGCCCCTAACGGTCCGAACATCATAACTTGCCACCCCGGCCTCCTATTACCCTTGCTAGTCCCCTTTCTACTCTCGGATCCTCCGTCCTCGTCTAGGAACTCGGGTGGAATCACACCCTCGCCCAAGGGCTCCCCAGTGAACGTGCAGGGATACGCCCGCTCTCTCAACTTGTTCGCTTTCTTCCTCTGCTTCGGCTCCCTAATGGTCACGGCCTTTCCCCCTCCCACCTTAACCCCCACGCTCCCCCCCCCTTCACGCACATGCTGTGATCCCGCCTCTGTCGCCGCCCTTCCACCACCCTCTCCCACCTCCTCCTCCCGCCCCTCTGGCTCCAACCCATCCATCTCGTGGTCTTCATCATCATCATCTCCCCCCTCCCCACCGCCATGCGTCTCTGGGTCCCACGCCGCCTCGCTGTCATCCCCGCTCCCCTCAGTGTTCTCCTCCTTCTCGCCCTCACCATCCTCCTCCTCATCCTCCTCCTCACTGCCGCTCTCCGGCTGTGTCGGCGTCTGCCCCGAAGGAGGGGGCCGAGGGCCGTCGTAACGGAAAGAGCGACGAGAGGTCGGCGCCGGTACGGTAAGCAACCCCCCAACGAAGATCGCGCCGGCTCCACCCGGTCCATCCCCTACTCGCCCCTGCATAGGTCGTGGTGGAGATCCCGGTGCGCTGCCCTGAGCCCTGCCTGCACCTCGGCCTATGGATCCACCACCCCTGGACGCCATCACTCCGCCCTCGACCCTAAACCCTAAAACCCCCTAAGGCAACGTGAGCGTTGGATGGTGCCGCACCGCACGTCCCTAATGCCCGATCCGAATCCTAGAGCGAATGGTACGCCCTACTTGAGCCCTTCCCGGGAGATGCTCGCTTTCCCTCCCTAGTAAAAATAAACTCCCTACACAACGTTAAACCCTATGCTTAGTTCTTCTATCTAATCTAATGTGAGTTCGTTTACACTCCAATTATTAACGTGCACTTGCTTGCACTTAGAAGAAGGAGGCTAGGGCGGCTGTGTGAGGGAGCACTAAAGCGGCTAAACAACTTCTGAGTTTGAGCTCACGAAATGAGCTCAAACTCAAATTGGCCGCGACCTAAATCTGGTCGCGGCCAATTTTGACGCGAACACTTTTGGTGTTCGCGTCGAAGCCAAGCCGAACACGAACATGTTCGTGTTCGGCTTGGAGAGGCCAACTCCAAAGTCGAACGCCGAACATGTTCGGCCGAACCTCGAACATGTTCGGCCCGAACGAATTGGCCAAAAAAAAAGGCCTGTTCGGTTCGCCTCGAACATGTTCGAGGCGAACCGAACAGGCGTTCGGCATTTTGCTCATCCCTAGGTCCAAGGTGGTGAAAACGGTGGCCCCTTCCAGCCGGTCGAAAATGTCTTCAGCAGTCGGCATAGGGTATCTGTCAGGGCTTGTAATCTTGTTCAGCTCCCGGAAATCCCCGCACATCCGCTTCGCTAGAATCTTTCCCGTGATGTCCTTCCTAGCAGCTACCACCGTGGCCGCCGCGTAACTTGATTCTGACGGGCGAATAATCCCTGCAGCTAGCAACTCCTCACATTTCTCTTTGCAGATGGCTGCATCCTCCGCATTCATTCGCCTCCTGCGTTGGTATGTAGGTAGCTCGGTCGTGAGGTTCAGCTCCAGCTCTCTCCCCTTGTATCTCCCCAATTCCTGCAGGTTATAGGCGAAGGTGCCCCTATGCTGCTGCAACACCTCCCTGATTGCTTCAGCTGCTTGCTCCCCTATACCTGCCCCCAGCTCCCAGGTTTTGCCCGGCTCTGCTTCCTTGCCTACTGGTGGTGCAGTATCGATCTCCTTCTCGTCTGTGAGCTTGCTGACAGCGGTGTAAGCAGCCTGCTTGCCGCCCCTGCCCTTCTCCGCTTCCGTCTTTCCCCTTTTCTCGGCTGGCCCCTTTCTCATCTCACTAACTAGCCATCGCAGCGAGTGCTGGTCTATGGCTCTGCCCAAGGCAGCTTTGCGCACCTCCTCCCCCACTCCGTCTGCTGCTGTTGCCCCCGGCAGGTACCCCATGGCTAATTCCCGCTCCAAAGCCGTCGGCTCCTCCCATCTTTTCTTACGGTGATCGTACACCATCCCTGGACCTGGAGTCCCTTCCACTTCGACAAATCCCCGTGCCTTTGCGTAAGCCACCAGTGTCGGCCAGGCCCTCCTTGCTTCCCCCACTCGGTTACACTGATACTGTCGCGGATGATCTGGCTTTACCACTGGGGCGGCCACTCTCCCTGGTTCCAGGATGTCTTCCACAATTCGGCTCTCATCTCTCTCCACCCTTGCTAATCTCGCCCTCAGTTCTCCTTCTGGCAGGACGTTCTGCCAGTACTGCCGCACTCTATGACACCTTGCCCCCAGCTGTGCCCCATCACAACTCACTCCCCTTCCCAATTCTGCTTCCACTAGCTCGCGTACGGCTCGGACCGGCTCCCTGATATCACTCCTCATATCCACATGTTCTAGGATGTAAGCATATTCCCCGCCAGATTCTCTCGCCCACCTCATAATCGTCAGTAGTGTTGTCACCATCGCCGTGCGGTCATCTTGCATTCCTCTTCCCTTCCCCGCTCGGGAAGTACCCTGGCACTCCCACCCTGCTACCAACAGTTCCACCTTTCCCCAGCGGTTCACATCTTCCCTGGTAAGCTGTCCCACATCCCACTTCTCGTTCTGCATGGCCTCCCGTATCACTTCCTTCGCCAGTAGAGCTGGGTACCGCTGCTGCAGTATCTGTGCATGCTTCCAAGCCATCCTCCTCACCTCTGGGGCTATTTCCACATACACCCATCTTATCACCTTCAGGCCTGCTTCCAATGCCGCCGCTAAGCCTGCCCCCAACCCTCCAAACAGCTCCACTAAGGTAACGCTATACTGGTCCAGGTTAGCTCCGACCTTGCCCTCTTTGGTACTCCCCCTCCTTACGCTCTCTCTTCTCACGCCTTCCGCCCTCCAAGCCTTCTTCGGTTCTGTCTTGACAAACCGCACCGGCAGCTCACTCAACTCCTTTCCCTCGATCCAGAAATCCGAGCGGTAGAGCACCTGTTCCTGCCAGGTACATATTGTTGTACCTATCTTGAACAGCAGCTCCATCCCCAGCAGAACATCATAATCCTCCGATTCCGTCAACCCACATTGCACTCTTATCGTCGTTTCTCCCTTCTCTCCCGGCTGCAGAGTAATCTCGATGGGGTCCTTAGTGCAGGGCATCCACTTTGGTGCCCCTCCCTCGGCTGTCATGATCAGTATGCCTCTGTTTACTATTACCAAGTCCCCATTCTCCCGTAACTGTTCTGTCAGCTTCCTTCCCAGCAGGACACTCTGTGCGCCTGTATCCACTATGGCGTTCTCCACTGGTATGCCCCTGACAGCCACTGCCTTAGGTTCTACCACCAGAGCCGTAGGTTGGCAGACGAGTCTCTCCTCAGGATGCCGTCGAGCCGTCCTCGGCTTATTACTTTCTTCTCGTTGCCGAGGGGTTCTCCTTTCAGGCTGCTTCTGCTCTGTCCTGCCATCCTTCCCACCGCTGCGCAACCCCAACTCCTCTCGGTCTCTAGGTGGTATAGCCATGGCCCCGTACTCCGCCTCCTCTCTCTCATACTCCTCTTCATCATCGTCCTCCCAAGCCAGCAATGCCTTCTCAGGGTCCTCACTAATCCCAGTCTTCTCCAGCTGTCCCTTCAACTTCGCCAACTCTCTCTCTAACTCTAACTCCTTTGCCGATTTTCCTCACATTCTCTCTCCCTTGCTGTAGCACCTGTCTTCAGTATGCCCCCTTTTCCCACATCCGGCGCAGATAGGTGCCTTGGGGCAGTCACGTCTGAAATGTCCTTTCATCTTGCATGTGTCGCACACTATGTCTATGGCGCAATCCTTCCGCACGTGCCCCTTTTCGCCGCACTTGTAACACCTGCGTCTATCTTCAGACGGCCTCTCTCTTCGTTCCTCTTCCCCCTGTCTCCCTTCCACTGCTGCCCAAGCAGGCCTCCGACGTTCACTCGGCCGATTGGAGCTTGACCCCCTCATTCCTTCGAAGAACCTCTTTCCATCCTCCACTTCTTTCGCCACCTGGTACACCTGTCGCAGCTTCGCGCGTACCCCCAAGGAGTATAGTCGGCTTCTCATGTCTCGTATCAAGTCCCCATCCAGCCCGTTGACGAACTTGGTCACTAGGATGCGTTCCTCCACGCAGCCCATATCCTCTGCCAGCTCGAGTAAACGGTTATAGTAGGCCAACAGCGACTCTGCCGGCGCTCTTATGAAGTCTTGAAACTCCGCCATCCGGTTAGCCGAATGCCCCGAGAACTGCTCCTGCAGGCTATCCAAGAAACGGTCAGTAATCTCTGCCGGTAAGATATCTCCTCTGTTGCTCCGCATCAGCAGCCCCTGCCTCTCCACGCGGTAATGAGTCAACGCCTCTCCTTTGAGAGTCCTCCCCAAGCCTCTGAAAAATTCGATAGGATCCAGTCGCTCCCTGTCCCAGCAGTAGCGAATGTCTTCAATCATCATCAGGTAGTTTTTCAGCGTGGGCTCCTCTCCAGGTGCCCCCGAGAAGCGGTCTGGTACCTCAATTTTGGGTGGTGCAATACTCATCGACCTGCCTGTCCCCCAGCTTGTGTTCCCTCGTTCTCCACTCCCTGCAGGTCGCCCTGCTCTCCCGGCCTCCGTGGCTTCGTATCCTCCGGCAGAGAATCCGTGATATGCTTCCCCGCCTCGCTGACTTCGTCGTTCCTCCGATTGATCGTCTCCTCCCCTCAGACTACGCCTTTCTTCTCGTTGATCTTCTTCTCCTCTCAGAATCCGCCGTTCTTCTCGATGATCTTCCCCTCCCTTCTGACTCCGTCGATCTTCATGTGGATCGTCTCCTCCCAGATCTGGATTTCCTCGGCGAGATCCACTCCCCACAGGTCGCTCTCCACTCCCCTCCGCGGGCGAGTCGCATGCCGAGCTCGGCTGTTGTTCTCCGTGTACACCTCGTTCTTCCTCCCGATCCCCGCCTTGGTTACCGCGTGGGTTCGTCCCTCCTTCGCCTGCCCGAAATCCAGGCATCCTGACCGGCGGATCACGTCCCTCCATCATCCTCGCCGGGAATCGGTGTCCAGAGCGCAGTTGATGAGTGTGAAGCTCGCGGTCAAAATTACTCATTCCTCACGGTGCATCACCGCGAGCAACTCCAGGCAGTAGATCCTGCCACCTCTACTCTCAACAATCGTAATCCTGACCACTCTCTTTTTGCTTGTATGAAACAAGGCTTAACTCCCTCGCAAGGGCTCCGCCGATTTGCTTCTGCTCCTCTCTACTGCTAGTTCCCCGTGGATTAGGAAAGCACAATTGCAGTAAATGAGAAACATACAAGCAAAAAGCAATGAGTCTGAGCGCTACTTCCGTCTACATCCTCTCCTGCCTAGGTGCCTTGTCCCGCAAGCTACCTCTACTCCTAAGCGCGAGTCAGCCGAGCTGATCGCGTAGGCTTCAAGGTGCTAGCTGGGTCCCACTGGGCCCACTAGGCATGCACCACCTTCCAGCCTGTGAATGTCGAATTGAATTCCCAGGCTGGCTGGAATCGAATTCGCCCTCATCCTCCTCACCAACCCCCTCAAACTCCTCAGTAGCTCGACTCTGTATAGTACAGTAACATTCCAAAAAGAGCAAACAAAGTAAAATGCAAAAAGCAATAAACTATAGTACACCTCACCTTGGCTGCTGTG